CTCATAGCGGTACCCTCCCCCCAGACATGCAGGTCACATGGTGTTGTCTTCCTTCTCTTCCTCTATTCTTCTTTTTCTCCTCCTCTTCTTGTCCTCTTCCCTTCCACGTCTCTTTCTGTTCTCTTTGTCTTTGCTGAGACTGAAAACAGAGGATTTCCATATTTTAGCTCAGATAGCTTTGACTGTGTCCACTTGTGATGAGGTATTAGTAGAGGATTGCCAGAGGGGAGGACTGTGGAGTGTTAAACACAAATAATGATATTTTGAAGTGAGAATATTGGGCCATTGGCATTCTGTGGACGGAACTCTGTTGAAGCGTTGATTCTAATTCTAAGTGTTTTCTTTTCCAATCAGATGTGAATCAGTTCCTTGTTCCAGAAGGATCTGCTAGAATCGTTAGTCATGTGTGATGGGAGCTGAAGTGTGAGCTGTGTTGATTGAAGTGTGGTCATGTTCTGTTTGAGACGCTGTGCTGTGCAAGCATACAACTACCACATGTGACTTGGAAAATAAGCTCCCACTGTCTATTTGCCTCATTCCCAAATGACACCCTATTCCCTATTTAGTGCACTACTTTTGACCAGAGCCCTGTCGGAATGCAAACCTATCTGTTCTGTGTTGTGTCACAGAGGTGTACCCAAGCAGTACAAGACTGGATGGAGTGTTGAGAGGGAAGGTAGGAAGGAGGGAGGGATGGATAAATGAGAAACTGACTCTGTTAGTCTAAATGTGATGGTGCAAAACATCTTCTAACATCTTCTAATAGGATTAGAGAGAATATCCTCCAGCAGAGGGAGAGGGAGAGGGGGAGAAGGAGGGGGGAGAAGGAAGGGGGGGAAGAGGGGGGAGAGAAGAGGTGGAGGGAAGGGGGGGAGAGAAGGGGGGAGAGAAGGGGGGAGGGAAGGGTGGGAGAGAAGGGGGAGGGAAGAGGGGGAGGGAAGGGGGGATGGAAGAGGGGGAGAGAAGGGGGAGAGAAGGGGGAGAGAAGGGGGGAGAGAAGGGGGAGGGAAGAGACTGCGTGTGTGTGTGTGTGTGAGTGGGTCATTGGGTGTGTGGGTGGGTGGGTGCATGGGTGTGCATGTACATCCACGTTTGTGTGAAAATGGATCATCATTCATTTACACTTACTCTCCACTCTAAATAACCATCTGAATACTCCTCTAACTAACTCTGTCCATCTGAATACTCCTCTAAGTAACTCTGTCCATCTGAATACTCCTCTAACTAACTCTGTCCATCTGAATACTCCTCTAACTAACTCTGTCCATCTGAATACTCCTCTAACTAACTCTGTCCATCTGAATACTCCTCTAACTCTGTCCATCTGAATACTCCTCTAACTAACTCTGTCCATCTGAATACTCCTCTAACTAACTCTGTCCATCTGAATACTCCTCTAACTAACTCTGTCCATCTGAATACTCATCTAACTAACTCTGTCCATCTGAATACTCATCTAACTCTGTCCATCTGAATACTCCTCTCACTAACTCTGTCCATCTGAATACTCCTCTAAGTAACTCTGTCCATCTGAATACTCCTCTAACTAACTCTGTCCATCTGAATACTCATCTAACTAACTCTGTACATCTGAATACTCCTCTAACTAACTCTGTCCATCTGAATACTCCTCTAACTAACTCTGTCCATCTGAATACTCCTCTAACTAACTCTGTCCATCTGAATACTCCTCTAACTAACTCTGTCCATCTGAATACTCCTCTAACTCTGTCCATCTGAATACTCCTCTAACTAACTCTGTCCATCTGAATACTCCTCTAACTAACTCTGTCCATCTGAATACTCATCTAACTAACTCTGTCCATCTGAATACTCCTCTAACTAACTCTGTCCATCTGAATACTCCTCTAACTAACTCTGTCCATCTGAATACTCCTCTAACTAACTCTGTCCATCTGAATACTCCTCTAACTAACTCTGTCCATCTGAATACTCCTCTAACTCTGCCCATCTGAATACTGATCTAACTAACTCTGTCCATCCATGAATTAAAGAGAGAAACTTACATGGACAGAGATAATTAAACAAATAGCTTTAGACAACAGATAGATTAGGATGCCAGAGAAAGATTTAGACACAATTAAAGTAAAGTGCCTCAGTACTCAGATGCAGCTGTAATGTCATTAGAATATGTTAGAACATGTTTCCCAGCCAATCCACTCAGCCTTATTATCCGATCCTCCCTCTTTGATGACATCATGATCACTGTTGGTTTGTTCTTCCGTTACGTTCATTTCCTTGCTACAGTTTAGATGTAGTTTCCTGGAATTGTCACTGACTGGGTACGTTTCCTGTAGAAAATATGTGTGCTTGCTGTCTAAAAGTATTTGTATGGTGGTGGAACAAGTAGTGGGGTTTTCTGCGGAAGTTGTAGAAGTAGTTGTAGTGGTGACTGTTCAGCTTTCAGCTGTTGAACTCAGGAGTTGAGATAAGGGAAGGGCTCCATAGTGTTATGGTCAGGGTCATGGGAAGGGCTCCATAGTGTTATGGTCAGGGTCTTGGGAAGGGCTCCATAGTGTTATGGTCAGGGTCATTGGAAGGGCTCCATAGTGTTATGGTCAGGATCATTGGAAGGGCTCCATAGTGTTATGGTCAGGGTCATGGGAAGGGCTCCATAGTGTTATGGTCAGGGTCTTGGGAAGGGCTCCATAGTGTTATGGTCAGGGTCATGGGAAGGGCTCTATAGTGTTATGGTCAGGGTCATGGGAAGGGCTCCATAGTGTTATGGTCAGGGTCATGGGAAGGGCTCCATAGTGTTATGGTCAGGGTCTTGGGAAGGGCTCCATAGTGTTATGGTCAGGGTCATGGGAAGGGCTCCATAGTGTTATGGTCAGGGTCATGGGAAGGGCTCCATAGTGTTATGGTCAGGGTCATGGGAAGGGCTCCATAGTGTTATGGTCAGGGTCATGGGAAGGGCTCCATAGTGTTATGGTCAGGATCATGGGAAGGGCTCCATAGTGGTATGGTCAGGTTGTGTTGTAACGGCTCCATAGTGTTATGGTCAGGGTCATGGGAAGGGCTCCATAGTGTTATGGTCAGGGTCATGGGAAGGGCTCCATAGTGTTATGGTCAGGGTCATGGGAAGGGCTCCATAGTGTTATGGTCAGGGTCATGGGAAGGGCTCCATAGTGTTATGGTCAGGGTCTTGGGAAGGGCTCCATAGTGTTATGGTCAGGGTCATGGGAAGGGCTCCATAGTGTTATGGTCAGGGTCATGGGAAGGGCTCCATAGTGTTATGGTCAGGGTGTGTTGTGACGGCTCCATAGTGTTATGGTCAGGGTCATGGGAAGGGCTCCATAGTGGAGGGGAAAAAAACAATTTAATCCATAGAATAAGGCTTTAACATAACAAAATGTGGAAAAATTCAAGGGGTCTGAATACTTTCCGAATGCACTGTATATAATGGGATTACAATGATGACAATATTATAATGATATTAAAATGCTGACACTATTTTAATGGGATTGTAATGATCACAATTTTATAATGGAATTATAATGATTACATTATTATAAACTGCTTGTGACTCACTGGATCTGCTCAACACCTTCTACATTTTACGTTACAATTATATCTGAGTTTTCTCCAAAAAATACTCTTGTGCATTCTGTGCATGCCTCTCTCTCTCTCTCTCTCTCTCTCTCTCTCTCTCTCTCTCTCTCTCTCTCTCTCTCTCTCTCTCTCTCTCTCTCTCTCTCTCTCTCATCACGTCACTCATCCCAAGCTCTGTAATTACAGAGACAACACAAACTGATAGTTTCATCTGAAAATGAGCGAGCGAGGCGATGTGAGGCATCGCAGTTCTGATGGGTCGGCTGGAGTTACAGTGTAATTAAATTGGAAAAACAAAGAACAGTTTTTAATTGCAATAATGTAGCAGATAACCGGCTCATTATGGCTTCTTGCAGAATATCTCCAAGGAAATGGCCTGGACAATAGATGACCAACTGTGGATGTATAAATGACTGTGAAAAAACCATACTAAAGCCACACCCTGTGTGGTACTAAACTGTGGAAACTCTTAGCTGTAGTTGAATAGATAAACACTTTTTATCCACAAGAAAGAAAGTATATGTTGCTCATACTGCAAAGAAAACTCCAAGTCATTATGGCCAGTGGCTTACTCAGTAAGGAACCTGTTGTTACGTCTCATCGATGACTTGATATGTCATTGGCTTGGCATGTCATTGAACAAAGTGTGATCTCTCTTTTTAAATTATATCAGTAAATCAAAATATCTTGATAGTCCCAGAGAATCCTGCGGTCACCACACACACACACACACACACACACACACACACACACACGCACACTCTCACACACACACACCCTTGTCACAGACCCCTGTCATTCTTCGCCCATTACCAGTGTGGTTTACGAAGGTATTTACCGTCTCAGAATCACTGCTACTGTGTTAACTAGGAAGGAAGGAACCTTCGTCCCTTGGGTCGTTTCCGGGGAAACCAGAGGGTTCACCTGATGAAAACAAGCCAGTGACACAGTATATGGATTTTTTACACTGAAAGTGTCTCAAAATGGCACCCTATGTGTTATAAAAGGTTAAGCATAGGTGTGCTTAACCTTTAATAATACATAGAGTGCCATTTTGGACTCAGCCACTGTTAACACTGACAAGGCCATGTTATTGTAGGTTTTGTTTGTTAGAAGCCCTAAACGTTATCCTACAGAGTAAAAGGGTCCCATTTTTTTGTTGTTGTTGTTGACAGTTTTAAAACACAATACAACCACACACGTGGATACAGTACAATGCTATTAAAATCAACGAGGATGACCCCCCCCCCAAAAAAAAGTATTTCCATTGTGGTCCTCATGAAAATACATGAAAACTAAAATATACACAAGATTATAACATGAAAACAAAATAAATCTCAAATAGGGGAAGGAACTGTAAAAGTAATAAAATAAATTACCATGTAACGTTAATGGAAAACAATTAAGCCTGTGCAGCTTTAAAACATTTAGCCCATAAACCATTTCTTAAGGTTTATCTTAAAACTCCCTAGCATAGGGATGGATTTGATATGGTTTGGTACCCCATTCCATTCCTCTGCACCAGTGTAAAAGGGAAGAGCTTTTTCCAGCCATGCTCCTATCAGTCTGCTTTTGGCAACACACTGTCTCTTGGTGTGATGGCTATGAGAGTCTCTAATGACATTTAAATAGCCAGACAGGTGACTGGGGGCAAGGTCATGTATAACTTTAAAAACTATCTACAGTTTGATCTGCACCACCCAGAGACCGTAATTGCATTAAGACCAATGTGCATCCTATGGGCTGAGCTTGAGTTTAATCCTCATTAGTTTGTTTTGGGCTGTCGGAAGTTTGTCCTTCAGATATTTTGTTATGCCACTGAACCAATGAGATACAAGCATAGTGATAGTTGCCAGGGTCCTCATCGTCTCTGTATCCAGGAACTTGGCTACCCTAGCCAGGAACTTTGTCCTGTAGTGAACCTTCCCACTGACATTCAGAGCCATGAGTTCACCTGTCATGTGTTGGTCCAGTTCCTATCCCAAGTATGTAACATGTAAATTAATTAAATATTAAATTATAAAATTTAATTTATTTATTTAATATATTAAATATTAAATGTGTAGCATTTCTCCTCCACCGCTACACCATTACGCTTGACAGAGAAGTTGGAAGATTTTCTCACTTTGTGTTTGGAACAAAACAGGATCAATTCTGTCTTGCCTAAATGCAGAGACAGTTTGTTGTCGGATAACAACTTAGTGACATTAGTCAGTTTGCTGCTTAGGGTGAAATATACTTCTCCCATGGGCAAAGAAACTCAAAAGGGGTGATGATATTAATGAACAGTAATTTCGATCCGAATGTGCAAATTGTCCAAGCAGATCCGCAAGGTACATGGATTATTTTAAATATGTTATTGGACCATAAACAGATATGGCTCATTAACCTTTACGAACCAAATAATGATGATCCACACTTCTTTGACAATATATTAAATAAATTATCAACACTGCAAGCAATACAATACTCTATTATTATGGTGGGAGATTATAATACCGTTTTAAATAGCTCAATGGACCGTAAAGGAAATCACACTATAAACTATCACCCTCATGCTCTTAAGGAAATCATGAATATCATGGATACATTAGAACTAATAGATATATGGAGGCTTGAATATCCTGATCTAGTGAGAAATACATGGCGGAGACTCAATCAAGCTAGTTGTCTTGACTTCTTTCTTATGTCATTCATGTTGGCACCAAAAGTTTAAAATTTACATTTCTCTTACTGAATTTCCACGTGGGCAAGGATATTGGAAATTTACTCAAAGCCTATTGGATGATAACTTTTTTAAAACTAGGACAGAGGAATTTATAACTGATTTTTTTCCGACATAACATAGGTACAGCAAATCCCCTTATTGTATGGGACACTTTTAAATGTGCCTTTAGAGGCCATGCAATTCAGTACTCATCTCGAAAACAAAAGCAACTTAGGTCAAAAGAGTCATTGCTAACAAAGGAAATAGAAAGTCTAACAGAACAGATAGATAGCAATAAAAACTGTAACACAGGCTCAGAATAAATTAGAGGAAAAACAAAAAGAAATGGAGAAACTTATTCAAGAAAGATCAAGTGTAATATATTATTTAAAAATAAAGCAAACTGGATGGAATATGGGGAAAAATGCACCAAATTCGTTTTTAATCTTCAACATATAAATGCTACCAAAAATAATTTCCTGAAACTGGTTACAAATGGCACTCATGATTCACCAAATTATATTTTGAAGGAGGAAACAAAGTACTTTAAGCATATGTTTTCGTTTCAGTTGCCTCCATCTCCTCTAACTAAAGCTAATTGTATAGAATGTTTTTCTATTGATAATGTTAAATTAACAGCCATACAGAAATACTCATGTGAAGGTGAAATTACAAAGGAGGAACTTCTGGATGCAATTAAATACTTTAAGTCCGGGAAACTCCAGGGTTGGATGGCATACCAGTCGAGGTATACCAAACCTTTTTTGATATACTCAGAGGACCGTTATTAGCATGTTTTAACCACTCCTATGTAAATGGTAGATTATCAGACACCCAAGAAGAAGGTCTGATTTCATTATTACTGAAACAGGATACAAGTGGAAAATATAAAGTCCAGTCCATTAAAAAAATTGGAGGCCCCTTACACTTCAGTGTTGTGATGCAAAAATTCTAGCAAAATGTATAGCGCATAGAATTAAAAAGTTATTGTCGGACATTATTCATTCTAATTAGACAGGTTTTTTACATGGACGATACATTGGAGATAATATAAGGCAAGAACTGGAAAAAATAGAACACTATGAAAAATCTGGGAAACCAGGCCTGCTATTCAAGTAAGACTGGGGTTTATATATAAATGTTAAATATAATTGGTTCTCTAGCGAATTAGTAAGATTGTCTCACCCAATGTTTAAGATAGCCTTTTTCCATTTATTCAGATTACAACTTCTCACTTTCAGTTATTTGAAAAAGAAATCATCTACCAAATATAACAATTTCTAAAACAAGCCATAGAAAGCTGGTTGCAATTTCAATTTATCCTCCAGAAACGACAGAACAAATAATGCAACAAATATTATGGTTAAACTCAAACATACTAATTGATAAAAACCCATTATTTTTTGAATAATAATATAAAAAGGTATAATCTTTGTAAATTATATCATCGGTAGGACTGGTGGACTGGTGCACATGCAGCTAACAAAAACATATGGAAATGTCTGCTCTACCCAAAATTACAACTAAATAATTGCAGCATTACCGCAAAAATGGAAGAGGAAAGTGGAAGGAGGAGAAAGTAAGGAACTTGTCTGTCGGCCTTGCATTAAAGAACATAATTGGTTAAGGAAAACATTGATAAATAAAAATCAGTTTCATTTAATTTAAGGACCAAAGGATTGACAGCCGTCCCATATAGATTGCAAAATAGTTGCGAAGACATTTTTGACGTACCGATTCCATGGCATAGTGTTAATGAACTGATGCGCAAAACGACGCCGGATTCAAAACTTAGAATTTTTCAATTTAAATTATTATATACAATTCTTGCTACCAATAGAATGTTATTTATATGGGGGATACAATCTTCCCAGCTCTGCAGATTTTGCTGCGAGGAGACATAATCATTAGATCATTTGTTTTGGTACTGTCCATTTGTAGCTTGTTTTTGGTCACAGGTACAGGAATGGCTGAAGGATTGCAATATTTACCTGGAGCTAACCCTGCAGATAGCACTACTGGGTGATCTGAAAAGTCATAGTCAATCGATCAATAATATAATAATACTTTTAGCAAAAATGTTTATTTTCAATTTACAATCTGTAGAAACAATGAGAGTAGAAGGGTTCAGAACTTTTGTAAAACATCACAGCACAGTTGAAAAATACATGGCAAATAGAAATCCAGTATGGATGGTGTTAAGAGATAGATGGGAGGTGTTGAATGGAGCTGAAGGATGGGACTAATAACAACTAACAACAACTAATAACAACAAGATAACTAATGTAAAGCATACTGTGTCCATAATAAGTATATAGGTTATAGGTTGAGAGCTTTTGTGAAAGGACACAGTTAGAAAGATATGGCATATAGAAGCAAACCGGATGGACATCATGAAAATGATCGGAGAGGTTGAGGGTAGAGGAAGTTCAGGAATAAAAACAAACAAAGTAGAATTATTGTAAAATTGACTGTGAACATAAAATGTATATAGTATGTACAAGCTGGAAGTAGAGGTTTAAGCATTGTTGTTCACTAGTTTACTCCAATTAGGGAAGGGGTAGTGGGGTTGGAAAGTAATAAAGGGAAATATACTTTTTACAAGGATATGTATATATCTATATGTATTTATATGAATGTATGTGTATATGTATGTGTATATACAGTGGCTTGCGAAAGTATTCACCCCCCTTGGCATTTTTCCTATTTTGTTGTCTTACAACCTGGAATTAAAATAGATTTTTGGGGGGTTTGTAACATTTGATTTACATAACATGCCTACCACTTTGACGATGCAAAATATGTTTTATTGTGAAAAAAACAAGAAATAAGACCAAAAAAAAGAGAAAACCTGAGTGTGCATAATTATTCACCCCCCCCAAAAAGAAAAATATCAATACTTTGTAGAGCCACCTTTTGCAGAAATTACAGCTGCAAGTCTCTTGGGGTATGTCTCTAAAAGCTTGGCACATCTAGCCAATGGGATTTTTGCCCATTCTTCAAGGCAAAACTGCTGCAATTCCTTCAAGTTGGATGGGTTCCGCTGGTGTAGAGCAATCTTTTAGTCATACCACAGATTCTCAATTGGATTGAGGGCTGGGCTTTGACTAGGCCATTCCAAGACATTTAAATGTTTCCCCTTAAACAACTTGAGTGTTGCTTTAGCAGTATGCTTAGGGTCATTGTCCTGCTGGAAGGTGAACCTCCATCCCAGTCTCAAATCTCTGGAAAACTGAAAAATGTTTCCCTCAAGAATTTCCCAGTATTTAGCGCCATACATCATTCCTTCAATTCTGACCAACCTAGCATTTTCCTTGATGGCAAAAAAGCTCAAATTTTAGTCTCATCTGACCAGAATACCTTCTTCCATATGTTTTGGGAGTCTCCCACATGCCTTTTGGCGGACACCAAACGTGTTTGCCTATTTTTGTCTTTAAGCAATGGCTTTTTTCTGGCCACTCTTCCGTAAAGCCCAGCTCTGTGGAGTGTACGGCTTAAAGTGGTCTTATAGACAGTACATCACTGGGGCAAAGCTCCCTGCCATCCAGGACCTCTATACCAGGCGGTGTCAGAGGAAGGCCCTCAAAATTGTCAAAGACTCCAGTCACCCTAGTCATAGACTGTTCTCTCTGCTACCGCACGGCAAGCGGTACCGGAGTGCCAAGTCTAGGTCCAAAAGACTTCTCAACAGCTTCTACCCCCAAGCCATAAGACTCCTGAACAGCTAATCATGGCTACCCGGACTATTTGCACTGCCCCCCCACCCCATCCTTTTTACGCTGCTGCTACTCTGTTAAGTATTTATGCATAGTCACTTTAACTCTACCCACATGTACATATTGCCTCAACTGCCTCAACTGGCCGGTGCCCCCGCACATTGACTATGCAACGGTACCCCCCTGTATATATAGCCTCCCTACTGTCACTTTATTCTATTGTATATATAGCCTCCCTACTGTCACTTTATTTTTTACTTCTGCTCTTTTTTTCTCAACACTTTTTTGTTGTTGTT